TGAACTGATCAAGTGAGTTGGTGAGAAGGTTTCTCGTGGCTGCGTGCCGTTGCCAACCGTGCGTGTTGGTGTGTGGAGATTCCACAAAACTCAAGTCTAGGCTCAGGGGGAGTTTAGCTCAGGATTAGGTTATCCTGAAGAATCCATGTTATTGAACAGAGCGGTAAATTAAGAAGTTGTATTTGCTTTCTGGTTCTAGTTGATTTGATTTCTGGACGTGGTCCCGGAGAGTAGAAAACGAACCTCGTAAAAAATTCTCTTGTGTCTTTTATTTTCTGCACTATATTTTGCCTCACTTGCGTTTACAAATAATACACGTAGTATTAGTAATTACTATAAGTTGCTTTGCTTCTGATTCTATACACATTAACAAAAAAAGGGTTCCGAAACAAACTTTATAAAACGCTATTATACGTACTATAATTACTATAAACGGTTTACCAAAAAAAAAAAATTACTATAGCCAAAGTGCTAAAAACTCATTCACATGACGATGCATGCATTAGGGTTCTCGTCGCTGAAAAGAGACATGAGCGTATCGTCTGTACCTCCAGGCTGCGCTTGAGCCTGCTCCGATTTCCTCACAAAACCCGGTGGTGCCTTCTTGTCGTAAGCTCCGGCGGCGTACGGATAAGCCACCATTGTGTACGGAACGTACGGCCACAACTCAGCTTTCTTCCCAGTGCTCTGCACTTCCTTCAACACTTTCTTCGGGTCCACGTAACCACTCACTGTCACTTTATGCATCTTTCTATTCACTTCCACAGATTTTGCTCCTTCAAAAAAAAAAAAAAACAAGTGGTGTATAATTTAGTATAAGGCCGTGTTTGGCTGATTTGGAAAACGAATTGTGTTATTTTGGAAACTTGACACGTCAGATTACATAATCGTGGTTATTATATGCCCGTGGTACCGTAATTTCGTGTGGTTATTATACTACTAAACTTGTAGCACAATTAAATTTTGCCCTAATTAATACGAAAGAAGCAAAGAGTTGTGTTTGACTAGATGAGCCTTGACTGGATGAGGGTCGAACCTTTCATGGAGGAAACAGCGTTCTTGATTTTGCGTTCGCATCCGTCACAGTCCATCTTCACCCTTATATTCACCGTCTGCTCTTTTACCAAATTTAGCAAAAAAGGTTAAGTAATTAACTAATAAACAAGAACTATACAAGAGCTATGGATGGTAATTACCTGCATGACTTTATGCTTCTTCCTTTTTCTTATTGAGACGTAGAAATAATCAGAGAGATAGTCGGAGAGAAAATCAAGAGCTCCCATGTTTATCACACA